GTTACACCTCTTAAAAAAAAAAAAAAAAAAAAAAAAAAAAGGCAACCCTGCACCCTTGCTTAGGAAACTAAGCTAGAAAAAAAAAAAAAAATTGAGGCCACAATCTGTTCTGTGGGTTTAGGTACATGTGCAGGTCAATTAGCAACACTGAGGAGCCAAGTAGCCCAACAGTGCTATAAAGCCTATAATTTGTCTGATTAAAACTTCTTGATTTTGCCAATAACTGTAGTGTGGCATGAATCTTAGACTTTACAATATAAAAATTACAAAAAAAAAAAGTCAAAACATCTAAAATACCTAGTGCTACTCCAAAAAGAGCAGGGCATTTGATATTGTGGCACACATCATTAAGTGACAGGGGAGTACAACATGGATAGAAGGGAATGAAGTAGTCAGTTCAGCTGCAGTTTAGTTGGTGCATTGATGCTTGAGACTTCATGGTACCTGTGGAAGAGACAAGGGTTTAGTGCTTTAGCACAAATAAAGAAACCCAGACTGTTCCAAATGTAAACAAAGACTCCCCATGAAGTTTTCAAACAAATCTGCTGACTTACTTTGTGCCCTTGTACTTCTCCCGGACAGACTGCTGTGCATGCTGAGGGGCATTGAGGTATATGCGGTGAAGATCCTCAATGCACGGCATCAGATCTTCCAGAGAGTAGCCAGTCATCTCGTTCAAGGACTTGGGCTAAGGAGCACAACTTTGGTCAGTTTGTGTCTTCAAATATACAAATACATTTCCCCACACACTAAACTAAAGCTTGCATAAACTTGGACAAGTTTAACTTTAAACAACAGTTAAGAGTAGATGCAAGCTCTGAGTTATTGGCTGTGCTGCTGGACACCATTGGCATTTCCACCTACATATAGACCAATACCTCATAGTTGCCCATTTGTACAAGTCTATAGAGCTCACCCATGAGGCACCAGTCACTGTGGTGTTAGCCAGAATGTAGGCCGCAGCTGCTGTCTGCGATGGCAAGTATTTCAAGAAGGGGTCTGAATCAACCAGGCTGAGCTCACCAAGGTACTGAAGATGAAAAACAACAACAAATGTTTAGACAATGCACTTAAGACATCACTTTCAGACTACAGAAATCTCATGCCCACCATTGCCAAGCTCTCCACTTGTTTGGTAACAGCATGCTGCAGGAAGTACTGAGTGAGAAACTGGTTTATTGTTGGTGCTGCCAGGTCAAATGAGAGCACTTTAAGCACCAGATGCTCCATTCTTAACACTTGCTTCTTTGTGTAGGTGTCGTCTGTGATGTAAACAAACTCTGCCACCTCTGGTGGGTAGATCTCTTCAAATTTCCTGCATAACATTCAAAAGGAACAAATGTAATGTTTGCAAAGTAGTGGGCTTTGAACATTTGTAGAATCTGACATGCAAAGAGGTACATACGAAGCTAGCAGCATAGCTGCAGTGCCAACCAGCTGAAGTTTGCCTCTTAGGACAGACATTGAGGAAAGGAAGCGATCAATGTAGTTAACAGCCAGATAAAGTGTCTCATTCTGGAGCTTGTACTCTTCGCCAACTTCGACCAGCCAATCAACCAGAATGGCTCGCATGCTGTTTGTGATGTCAGGCTGCTTCTTCATGTAGCCAGCTTTAGGCCTGGTTTTCACCTGTGGGGTGACAATCTAGTTATAAAGAGCCAGTTTGCAAACAGGATCAGATAACCATCAACAGGTTTAGGTTGAAAAATGTTGCCAGGGGACAGCACTGCCAGAAAATTCTCATATGCTTTTTGCTTTAGCACTTCGTATGCCAATTTCTCACCTCCATCTCCCTCAGATAGCTGTGAATTTCAGCTGCATATTCTGGGGCCTCATTTACATTCACTGGTTTTTCCTCCCCCTCAACCACAGACATGTCCATTGGAGAATCTGAGAAGAGTTTTATATTTAGTAAACAGTAAAAACCCAGATCAGAGTAACAGTTGCTAGCATCATTTCCTTTAAACCCACCAAAGCTGACATCCATCGCTGATGGAATTTCAATAGTGGCAAGGGGCTGCCGGAGCCGTGCCACAGCACTGATCTCCAGTGGGGATTGTTCAACTGTGGGCTTGGCTTTGATACTCTCAACTGCTTGCAGTGGCTTCTTGACACAGGCTCCATCAGGCTCATCAATATGGATCTGGAAAGCAGGTTGCTTGGCCAGTGGTTTATCAAAGCAGCTTTTCCCAAAGTCTTCATTTTTACAAGACAAGGATTGTGTTGAATCCTGGAAGCAAAGAAATATTCAGACATGGCCCACAGAATAGAAACTTTGTTAGATTAGATCTGACAGCAACACCATCCAAGGGCATACATGCTGCTCAACTTAGTGGTTAGATGAAGACTTTTCATTACAACACTAAGTGTGCTGCACTTGACTGAGAACATTCAGATGATATTACACTAGTCAGGTTCAATGTTAATACTCAATTGTTACATCCGCTGACGGGAGGGAAACGTTAAAGCACCCTCAAGAAGGCATGTTTGTTGTTTTAAGCAGCCAACTACATGACTGACTTCACCTTAATGTTGATATTAAAATGGCGGTCAATTGGTGGGAACGGGGCGTACACACACACACACACCTACGTTCGTGAGTTTGTAAATATTAAGTTTTAAGAATAATAAAAGCATCAAGTATTTTTTAACAAGCAGGGACATGGTAAAATGTATTGGCTCCAAAACATGTAGTCAACAGCAAAGCGCAGCACCAGCTAAGCAGCTACCAGTTAGCATTGTTACCTGCTTTCCGCCGACTTGGGATTTGTTCCTCTGGTTGTTCTGCAGGGCTCCTAGCACGGTTCTGTTGGCGGCTTGCTTCGGAGGAAGGTTTTCTTGGTTTTCAGTCGCCACAGGTCGGGCTTTAAGCGAGCCTCTGAGTCTCTGCAGTACATTTTCCTGATTCTGGTAGTCACTAGCCGCGCTTCCCTGTGCTCTGTTAGCGCCTGACATGTTGCCCTCCAACTCCAGCCTGCCTTCCGCTAGCTTAACTACAATTGTTGAGTACTTGTTAACTAGTGAAATGAGCCCTCAAATATGATGCGTGGATAAAGGGATCAAGTATATGGATATTATAGCGAGGTTATCATTAGCGTCTACCTTGCCGAGGAAGCTTAAAGAATTGTTCACAATCAAAACTAAGCTGTTGAGATGGTAACCACACTTGGAATCCCCGTGCTAAAACAAAGCAGACAAAAACAAGACATGCACAATTGGTGGTACAATGGCTACAGTCGGAAGACAAGAATTTAAGTCGCCATAACGCACGAGTTTCGAATTCACTACAAACCTGGAAACAAGGGAGCTAACCTCGATCCATTTACACAGAAACCTGTAGAGACTGCAGCTTTCTCTCAGTTCAAGTAGCCCGCGAGGATTGAAACAGACCAATCAGAAGCCGCGAAGGCAGTGACGCGTAAAATGTACGGGGAACCGAAGAGTACAATAATCTTCTGATTACTACATTCAAAACCGGTTTGGCATGTTTGAACGTAAAATCGCTTTATTAAGTCAGCTGGGCCTGTGTAGCAAATGCACGCATAAAGGATAAGATCTTGTTTTATATTTTTCCTTTTTTTATTTTGCTATCTTCATATATGTTCAGACACACAGGTTACCCAAGGCATTTAATCATATGAACCATTTGTAATCTGTTCTTAGTGACTAAAGACTTGTGTTGGGAAGTACTAACTGCATGCAATACACACAATAATTAAACCACTTTTTGAATTAGCTTGGTTATAGTTTAATTTTTAATGAATACATAATCAGAGAAGTTGTTACCTGGATAACTGAGTGCGCTTGCCTTTAAAATCAGTCTGAAACTAATTATTTGCTGTCTGCAAATTGCACATAAAACCAAAGTTTATATCCTTCTACTTTTGCATAAATAGTGGACCGCTATAATTTACATATGACATATGAACAGGCACTGCTATAAACGCAACTAAATATCAGCTTTTACTGATATGACTGTTTTTTTATATATATATATTTTTTATTTACAAAGCAGTTTGAACTATACTTCCATCCAGTTATTTAGTTAACAATTTTGATAACCTTGAGTATTTTATTGCAAGTAAAAGTTTAAATATTTAATCTTTAATACAATATAATGTTTAAATATTCACTAAATGTTAACAGCAAAATATACTTACAATAATAAAGGAAATTCTCCTTTACAGAGCATGTTACATATCCTCCTAAATGTCCTCCGTAGTGGACTTTTGCAGTCATTTCCTCCATTTTGTTCTGTTTCTTTTAAATGACCAGAAAAGGAGTCCTTTTTAGAAGCAGAAAGAAATTTATTGCAGTTTGTTGAGGGAAACAAGGATCTTGAGTTGTCTGATGAAGAAGATCATAGGGAATAAGGCCTTCAAGAAGAAAGAAAGAGGAGCATCAGAGATGGTACTCAGACGAAGTCCTCTTGAACTTGCTGTCATTAAGTGGTTGGACAACAAGCCAGTTGTCATGTGATATCTAAAAAGTAAAAACTTTTTTTTCCCCAAAAAAATCCTTTCAGCCTTCTGATTACCTTACAAACATTAGGGGATTTAAAAAAATAAAAAAAGGACAACATTTTTTTTCCTGGTAGTCAGGAGGATATATTTGCTCGTCTTTTAGGGAGCGTTTCAGATGGCACCAGTTTAAAGGACAATGCAAACTGCTAAATCTGCCTCTGCTTTATATTCTCTAAACTACTTGTATGTCAAATTTAAAAGTGCAAAGAAACTAGATACCAAATAAATGGTAAAGTGTAAAGTGTAAAAAGTGTAAAGTCACAAAGTAGCAAAAAATACAAATTCTGTGGAAAAAGTACATTGGGACTTTCAGTCCTTCAAAGTATATGTATTCAATTAACTTCCACAACGTTGGTGTGATTTTGCAGGACTTGATCTCTGGTACTCTATCAGACAATGGAAGCAAATAGGCAATCTATAGATTTGCTGTCCATGATAGTGTAGATGTAACAGTTTAATGAATGAGACTTGATTGGCTCTTTGTTAAAATTCACTGTATTATGCATTTCTTCTTCTATACAAGTAGGTTTTTGTAGTAGCATTAGTCCAGTGAATAATGAACTTTACATCATCTCATTTTTATTTGAAGAGATGAACATCACTCATATGAAAACCATAACATAAAAATATACATTACATATTTCTTTAACAACCTTATATTTGGTCACTTCAAATGCCAGCTATTCATACAGGTAACTTTTTTTATAGTTATTTCCAGATACTTTAAAATACATAAATATTTAAATATTGTGCTCAGTAGCTATGACAAAAAGTAACTAAATATATTTAATAACATTACAGAAACACAGAGATACTACCATGAAACAAGTGTTTCATTAGAATACAAAAATAGCACAAACATTCAAAGACAACTAAATGAATACCTTCTGACCTATTAAAAACTTAGGCCTCATTAAAAAAATCTAACAGAGAATTCAAGTCATAGTTATCAAGTATCTCCAGCAATGAGGACACCTTGGTTTTTACATTCTGGCCCTTGAACTTGAATTTGTCGATGAAGAGGTCTGTGATCATTCCTACAGGAAAGAGAATGAAAAATATTAACTATCATAGGCCAACAATATTAATACGGTAAGGATCACAATGAGATCAGTTAAATGAAACTGTTAAAACATTGCACCGTAAAGCCTTTCAAGGTGTGCAGGCTGTTTCTTGTACTCCTCAAGGAGATTAGCGGATTCATCCAAGATGTTGCGATATTCTGGAATGAGGAAATCAGCATTCCCCTCATGAACCTGAAGCTCCTGATGACCACAGAGGAAGCAGAGACGCATGTTGGGAAATAGGAAGCAGATATTGGTAGCTACATTAAATTACACTCAAAAGAAACATGTGAGGAAACTGTATCATTTCACTAAATCGTGCACAGCAGATTTGCAACAGTTTCAACAGTATATTGGCAGGGATGCAATGGAAATAACGTTGCCATATTGTGAAACTGGTGCCTCTGTAATAAAAATATAACCTGCAGGGATTACAGCTTTTTAATCCTCATTTTAGGTTTAAATAGCTTTAAAACAGTTTTCATCATTTTAAAATCATCAGTTTAACTGAAGATTCTATACGTGCAATTTATGTCAGCTTAGAGTTATAACTCTCTCACCTCTCATTTACATAACCATTAAAAATAATTGCTTGTGGCATTAGCAAGATGGCTGCTGAGTTGCAAGACTTTTTTCTAGAAGGTATTTGATTAAATTCTGATCAAACCGGGTGGTCTTTACTGCAAATTCCACAACACAGTTCAAAGGAATGAATATCTTTTTTGCTTTTACACTTACTTTAAGGGCATCGATGAGCTGAACTTTTCTAGCCAACAACAGCTGGTACTCCAGCTTTGGATGGATCATGTTAAGGGTGTGGCTCACAGAGTCATCACTGATTTCTGGAAGATTAATAAACATAAATACAGGTTTTCTATTTCTTCTATTTAAAAAAGCAAAAAAAAAATAAAACCTGACAGATGGTATTGAAATAGAACAATAATATACCTACCGTACGAAATGTTGAGATTGATTTTCTTTTTGGTAGCTTCTTTAGACAGAACATCACTCAGTATGGAGATCGTAGAGATGTTGTCAGACTTAAAGTGACCCTCCCCTTTGCTGTGAATACAAAATGGTTCAATATATTAAACTATATGAAACTACCTATTAAACTCTTCAAAAACTTAAAGTGTATGTAGTTTAGAGCTTGTCTACTGTGTGCCTGCATTTACCAGTAGGTGGCTTCAAGCTGTGTGCCAAGGAAGGTGTTGTGGAAATAAAATGTGATGCTCTCTCCTGCGGGTGTTTTCTCAGGTACCTCCGGCAAACAGAAAACCACCCAGGAGTGGATCTCTGCAAAACTGAACTGCCCAACCAGACTGAGCCTGTTCATTGGCCTTAAATAGAGTGAGAAAAGCAAAGAGAAACGAAAACAAATGATCCCATCTGGGAAAGATATATATAAATCTTATAAAGTTTGTATCTGTCTTGTGTGAAACTTGTATGAAAAGCATATAAGAGTGAAAACAGATATAAGATCCCTTGAAAAATTATATAATGAAACTTGTATGTTTTGGATACTTACTAAAACAATGTATGAAAGTAATGAGAAAGTGGCCACTTTCATGAGTAATCACATATAAGTTTTTACTATTTGTTTTCCATATGGGATTTTATGAGAAAAAAGGGAAATCCTGATAAAAGAACCGTGTTAGAACATTCCTGTGTTGCTGCTATTAACAGTAATATATACATACAACACAAAGTTGCTGACACATATCTCATAGAAAACCATAGTAAAAGTAGAGGTTACTAAGGCTACGTTCACACTGCAGGCGAAAGCACATCAAATCGGATTTTTTTGACCCTATGCGACCCATATCCGATCATGCTATGACAGTGTGAACAGCACAAATCCAATATTTTCAAATCCGATGTGGGTCACTTTCGTATGTGGTACTGAATCCGATACATATCCGATGTTTTAGAAAGCGACTGCTATTTGAAAGGTCAAGTCGCATTAAATCCATCTTTTACATCACTTACACAAGACAGACGCCAATTATCAGCTTCGGAGAAGCACCCGATAAGACTTCGCGAACACTTCCTGGCCATCCAGTGTAGATGTTAGTGAAACTGTTGGGAGGACAACTTTGGAGAAACATGAACATTTTATTTATACTGTATAATCTGCAGATTCTGACAGAAATCTGCAACTATCCTTTGAAGCACCGCTCCTCTAAAACAGCAATAAGGATCATTATTAGGTTATTTACATTATTATGTAAATAACAAAATAACTCAAAGCAAAAATTGGGAAACGTAAAGTCCGAAGTCTTTACATTAAGGGCCATCAGTCAAACAATATTGTTTTCTCTGGGTCTAAACAGAGCGCGTTGTGTGTGTGACGTCTTCTTTTGTGCATGCGGGCCGCTTTGGACGTTCACACTAGAGCGCATTTGCTGTCGCATTTTATTTGTAGTGTGAACAAGCAGACAAAAAAATCGGATTTGATCAAAAAATCGGAATTGAGCATTAAGACCTGCAGTGTGAACGTACCCTAAAAGCAAGAAGTAAGCATATTTATTTTCAACACACAAAAAATTATAAAATAAAAATATTAAATCCACCAAGGAGATTATGTGTCTGCTAAAAACTGGAAGCAAAACTAGAAATTCCATGTCATTTCACAACAAACACATAATAAAGTGAAATAACAAAAACTGGGAGATATCGCAGTTCTAGTTGCTACTAATCTTCAGATGTCTTTGTGGATCCAGGAACGCATGCATGATGTCAAAGGAACTGTCAGTATATATGTGTGTAGTCACTCACACTTTTATTTGTTTGTGGGTTTGTTACTCTAAAAGTTATGGAAAAATAACATCAGAATTTCACCAGAGCTGGGGCTTGATTTATGTTTGTTGGGAATTCAGATCCAGATTATTTTTTTTAAATTCAGGATTCTTTATCACTGTGATGGAAGGCAAACTGGACACTGTGTCTTATGTTGCACTGACAATTTTAGTTTCAATTCGAGGGTCTAAATGTAGGAACCATTCACAACTCTAGGTTTAAAGCTAATAATGTGTTTTTGTCTTTAAAACTATCTTTTGTGTTCTGCTTCAAAAAGAATGAGATTACCAAATTTCAATTCACATCTCTATGATTTTATTATACTTGAAAAGACTGTTTTCAAAATTCAAAGTAGTGCAAATTTTTCTTTTATTCTTTTAATTACCTCTCTTGGTCTATGCTGTGAGTCCGCTGGTGGAGGGACAGAGGTTTGATCTGGTACTGGCGTACCTGACATGTCTTAGGCTGCAGTCTTGGGGTGATATACGCCTGCAGGGTTCCATACTGTCCCTCAATGGACCTCACCTATAGAACAGTTTGTTGTGGATTAAACATATTACTTCTTCTGTAACACATCATATCACAAATAGCTGAGGCAAGTTGATTATGTAGCCATTTTAAAAATGCCACACTTTCACTTACTTTGAGCTCAATTCTGGTAGTGTTGGCCTGACATCGGTATGTGGCCAGGAGGAAGTTCCCATTGGGCTGCTAAACATAAACTGAATGAATGTGAGGCCTTTGATCACAGAAGCAGGTTTATGACTTAGTTTGTAAAAGTTTTTGTGTGCACATAGTTTACACAGCTCACCTCTGAGTCACATTCACTGAAACTGACGACAGCTGAGTTCTTATCCACATCCAGGAGGTCAATAGGAACATCACTCTGTGTAGAACATTAGTCTCAGTCATATTCTGCTAGCTTACTTTTGCTACACGGAATGAAAAGTGTACTTTTTTTTGGTATTGCAACTTGTCTTTTAACAGTGCGGTATAACAGACACATGTACCTGCAACAGCAGGTTGTCGATGGCAGTCTGCACCTCCAGGGTGAGGCTGTAGCTGGCATCGTCTTGGCAGAGTGTAAACTTGTCATTGATGCTGAAGACGGGGACAGCAGAGACAGCCGTGCTTGATTGAGAGGTCTGCTGGTACTGCTCACGTCCCTGCAGGACTTTGACCTGCAGCTGCTCCAGCTCTGCCCTGAAAGTTAACAACATTACTAACTGAAAAACTGAAAGACTTGTTTTGAAATCACACTTCACAGTAAACCAAACAAAAAAAAAAAGGGAACAAGATTTTGCTAATACCTGAGTGCTTCTACTTTAGACTGTGTCTCCTTGCTCATCCTGACCTCATCTCCGGGGCCAGCCTCGGCCTTCTGAGGCTCAGTGGTCAAACCAGTCACCCATCCTGTAAGAAGTGAAGAAAAGAGTGGACACAAGACACCAGACACTTATTGTTCCTGAGGGGAAAAAATGCATAAGCTGCAGTATTAAGGGAAACATTATCATCTAACCCGTGTAGGTGGCAGTCAAGACCTCATCATAAGACTCCTTCCCTACACAACCACCCTGGATGGAGGTCACACTCTCTGACAATACCTGTTATGAGGAAACACAGCAGAGAAAATATTGAAGATTAAGAAGGGAGTCTGTCATTTAATACCTAAATGCATTAATATTTGTAAATTAAGCAACAATTATTCAAATAACTTTAGGTTTGTAACAGTTACAAAAATACAACTGTAAATCTATGGAGAGTGAATTTTTAATCACTTACGTGCTCAAAGCGCAATGTCGGTTCATTAGAGCTGTCAAAGCCGTAGACCTCAACCGTCCCATCATCCCTCCCCACCAGGATATCATTCACTCCGTCACCAATAATATCATAGTTGTCAATGCAAAGAATTCCTGGGAGACAGAAAACATGATCACTTTGCCAGAGTCATCACCTAGTATGCATGAGTATCTGTTTAAACATTGTGGAAACATACATTGTGTATAAAATGAGATCAGATAGATCTGTTTGAGAAACAAATTGTTACTGCATGCCCATGCAGTAGACTCCGCTTTATGACTGCTTTGACTCAGAGCAATCACCCTCTGCTAGACAGTAAAAATATTGCACTTTTAAGGCACCTGTACACTGGCTTCATGTGTAAGAACTCGATGCTATGCCCATCTTTTCTAACAGTGTTCATGAGAAAATAATGCATTTCTGTACATACCTCCTTTCTTTTTGTCATTGTCAATTTCCCATTTGGTCGCAGCTGAAAGTTCACCAATCTCAACCAATCCTATTTTTCCATCTGTGGTTCCAAAGAGAATTTCCTCTCCTAAAGAGAAATTTCAGAAATTAAGTTCAAACGGGTACATATAAAGCAGCTTTATGCTTTATGGTTACAGTAAACAAAGAAATCAACTTGCCTTGCTCTTTATACAGTTCCAACACAGAAGGAGGTCCAGGAACTTCTATGTCATATGCAAGTTCAGATCTCTACATACAAAACCATAAAACAATTGGCATCTCTCATTTGACAAAGAGCAACTCATAATCAGAACAGTAAATGAGAGCTCAGTCTACCTGCAAGACTCTGAGCACTCGATCTTGGCATGCCAGGACGGGGACGAGGTGAGTGAGGTTTTCAGTGGACAAACATGTGATGTCATTGATCTTGTCTCCAGAGAGGTAGTAGTCCTGATCTTTGCAGTCACAGTAGTGGTTGTAGATGTAACTTGCGCACACAAAAAGGTCAGCGCCTGAGACATGCCTGGAAAAGACCCAGTGGGGTAAAGATGACACAACTCTGCACAGCTCAATCGTGTAATGTAAATCAAAATGAAGAAAAAAAACAAAACATGTTTCCTACATTGCATTAATGCTCTCAGTTAGGTTGGCTTCAAAAGTGAGGAACTGTTTGCCTTTCTTGGTGAATCCTCGGACCTGAGAACCAGAGCAGACAAAGATCTTTTCCTGGGGAGTTCCCGCAGCACCTCCAAGGTCCATTCGGGCTATCTTCTGGCCAGGAAGTGTTTTAAAGACAGGCTGAAACAAAGAGTCAAAAGTCTTACAAGCTGTTCATTTCAAATCTCTGTGATGACAGGAAAATATTTACTCACCACTGCTTCCCCCTTCTTGATGCCAAAACATGTGAGTATTCCATCATGATCAGCAATAGCAACCTAAAACATGAGGAGACACCAGTCAAGCACTCTAATACTTACCAATTTCATTTTTTAGTTTAATTAACGATTGTAGCAAAGGCAAGGAGTCATATCTAGAAGATAAGCCCAGTATCAAAAGAGAGTATAAAAGAGACCTTACATATACTATAATTTGTTTCGACCGAGCACTGATCCCACATGGTGATATGACCCTTGAGGTTTACCCAAAATGCACTTTTTAAAGTTGTCTACAATGAACTAATAGAAAACATGTTTAATTAAAGCCTGTTGGAAAAATAGTGTCTAAATCTTGTTTTGAGACAAAGTCTATTGATCTTTATGAAATTTGACTGACTATACAAGCAGTTTACATGTCCCTCTTTCAATTAAACTAAAACTTCAAAACAACTGCCCAACTTACTGCACAGCATGACAAGTCTTACTTCTTGAAGGGCTCGGGTAAAGCAATTATTTATCAGAAATCAATGTCATTGGTTTTGATTTCTGACCATCTAGTAAACAAAATATGTATTACAGATAAATAAACTAAAACCCAAATAATAAAACTGGTTACATTTTTAAAATCAGAATCAGAAAGACTTTATTTATCCCCAAGGGTCAATTAACAAAATTAATCATCTGCAGTTTTCAGCAAAAGCAGGAAAACAATCTGGATTTAGTCAGAAAACAATACTAACACCACAAATGTTAATTAATTTAGGTTACTGTATGGCTCATAAACGATACCTTTTGGGTTGCCTTTTTTCCCAGTGGAGGAAGAAGCCTCATAGTTTTCTGAGATGTCACGCCAACCTGAGAGATAGAATGGAGGAGAACTTTTACTCCTAATATTAACTAAAGAGAGAGAAAAACACACACAGCATAAACCCGACATAGTCTGCTTTGTTTTACCTGAATGTAATCAACTCTATTGAGGCGAAGATCCATCTTCTTTCTACTGTTTCAACTTAAGTAGGAAAAAAAATCTGCAAATATTCCAAGCAGGTTATTCAGACACTACTCTTGGCCCATAGCCGCCCGTTACAATTAACACTTTGTCAGAAAAACGTTCAACCCAATTCCAAGACGATAACGATGCTAGCTGAGACTGGGATTATCTAAAGCAATGGGATTAGCTCAACGTGCTAGCTTTAGCAATCGGAGCTAACTGGTACTGGCACGCAGGCTTCCTCAACGACCGAAAATCATCTTTAAAAAAGACACGAAGGAAGTCGATGTGTGTAGATGTGAGCGCGAATAAATTCCCATTAAACGCCGATATCAGGTATAAACGATCTGTGCAACATTTTGGGACTTGTAGAGGGCAGTTGCCGTTGCTAATGGCAACGTTGCAGGCTGTAACAAAACTGCAATTCCACTGGTTGAAAGGGAGTAACGGACATTGAAGCTGCATTTTGATTGGCTATCTCATTCACGTTTTCTACCGGTGCGTCATATCACTTCTATATCTAGCAGACAATACAAGAATACATAAAAGACAAAAAGAGAAATGAAACATAAAAGCAGCAAATAATGACAATAATGTTTTTAAAAGTGGCTTAAGTGTGCCATTCTGCCAGTAATGTGAAAAATCCCATTAGCCTTTTGAATTTTCAAAGTTTTGGAAACAACTGAATAGTTTTTACTCAAGGATCTGTACCAACTTTTACTCTTTCTCTATTTTTGGGAAATACAAAGTTTACTACTTATCCAGACCCTCTTGGCACCTCTCATTTATAAACATAAAACACCATTTAATTATAGTGACACATTTATTATGTCAATGTTAAAGGTACTTAAAAGTCATAGTCATATATTTTTTTCATTTACACCATTAATAAACACAGTCCTTTACCTATACAAATGCTGGCACATACTGTAGAGAAACTAAAATTTGGTTTTAGTGATGGTATCTTGTCAGAGTTTTCTTGAAAATTGTCTTCTTTCTTGTGCTTTCAGATGACTAACTGGCGTTGTCAGGAGTAATCAGGGAAGAGTACGTGGATGAACCTAAATGAAAGAACAAGCTCTTTTTACTCTCCCACATAAATATCTGTTGCATCATAAAATCAAAGAACTCTTATTTAAAATGACACATAAATATCACACATTGTTTTTTGCAAATATATCCCAGATAAATGGCGTGCAGTGTGTCTATAAGATGTATTTGATATGTACATGTAAAATTGTTTTTACAATGTACTCATAGGGTCTGAACAATTATTCACTAACTCACATTTCTCTAGTGAGAAACAATATACAATTACACTGAAATTATCTGTGATAAATACTTTTATATTAGACCTATGCTTTGAATAACAATTAAAAACAGGCATAAATAAATCCTTATTAGGATTTGTTCATATTGAAGTCAACTATTATAATGCAAGAAATTATTGGTACCAAACCCAATTAGCATTCTTCAACACTATGTTTGTTTAGGAGATAACTTTATTCTCATTATAAAAATGTGGTTTGTCTGTAGGCAAGTAAACACAATTAACATGGCAGGGAAAGAAAAACATACCAGGGCATGCATTAAGCAAGAAACCTATAGCCTAATAAAAAATGAATGACTCAAAATCAAAACAGCTTTTAAACTGAGAAATGAGGTCAGGGTGCATTCATAAGCATGGCATGCTTTCTGCAAGTTATTCCATTTGTGAATCATACAGCAGAACATCTGGTACCTTAAAATATCCTATAAAATACAGCAGATTATTTTCTCAGTTTAACATCCATTTTGACATCATAGCTACATAAGATTTTGCATGTTGCTGAAATGTGAGTCAATGGCATTGATAGAATACATTTAATATTTAGGCTTTTAGACACATAAGAGCATTGGATGCTTTACAAATCAGACATAGTTGGAAACTGAAAAAGTACAATATGATTATTTAAAGAAATGATCATAATCCATTGTTTATAAACACATGTTCATTAATTTACTAATCTGAGAATGTTAATGTTTCATTATATAATAAGTGATTTTAATGAATAAATAAGACATGAAAGGAAAGAATGATAACAGCCGATAAACAGGGAACCCAGCTGATGTCAAGCTAATGTGCTCGGCCCATCGAAGGTAACAGAACAGGATGTCCACCGCTTCAATGAGGTCACATTAAAAGGATGGAAACGCAAATATCAGCATTAGCCTTCAGTGCATTACTGGCTGGTCTTCAGCTGCACTCAGATACACAAAAATTGGAGCACAGACTGTAAAGTTGACATTCAAAAAAAAACGGTTCCTTCCATTGATGGCAAAGTCTTTCCCCATCGAAGTTAAGTCACATCGTACATCTTACTGAAAAACAAAACATGAGGAAAACAAATTTAGTGTAATCAAACCCCCGTGGGGGCGAGGCGGCTGATAAAGGCGATACTGCTGAGGCACATCCTCCTGAAGAAGGCAGGGCAGGCAGGCTTCATGATGAAATGCTCCAAAAGAATTCGCAGCTCGGTGAACAAGGTGCTGAGACAGAAAGAAAAGTACTTCACTCGGATTGTATTGAAAGCAAATTTAATCTAATCTTTGTACCTTCTGAATAGCAGGGCATGCCAACTCTAAACAGAAGGGCCATGTCCTTGGTTGAACCCCAGAGCCTCTTGCTGTGAGGCAACAGCGCAAAACACTGAGTCACCATGTTGCTATGTGACAATAACGGATAATTCAAAGTCTTACCGGCAATATGGATTTCTTCTGGATGTGTAGCGCAGAGTGAGGAATCGGTAATAAATGAAAGGCAGCAATAGGCTCCCCTGGCCGCTGTTGACAAAATATTATTGACATGAACATGTGAAAACTGGACACTCTGTATTAAGATTACAAAGAAGGGCTTGCATTTGTTAAGAGAAAACTGATAGATATTTATGAGATTAACACAACAATAACCACAAAACAGTCACTGCAACTAATCAATATTCACATACCTCTAGATTAGGGATGCTACAATTGGTCTTCAGAAAAAGAAATCGTTGACAGTTGTAAGCATACCTGAACAGCATAAAAATAGTTGCTGGCATCAAGAAGATCTCATTACAGGCAATAAACTTCAGGATATTCTGCTGATTAGTTGTCAGTTTGTCCAGGAGACCCCGGATAAACATCATGCTGTTTGGGCCCATGGTCTTAAAGAAACAGAAAACAGTCACAAAGTGAAATGAAAGCTTTGGCAAATCAACATTTTGAAATGAGCAGTTGGTGCAAGAAGTAAAAGGTAAAGGAAAACACATTAAAAATCATTAGCCTCCAGACTTTAAGTCGCTTAATGGTACATTATACGTTCGTAGTTCAATTTAACTGTAACAGTTAAGTATAAAGTTCTTTACGTTGTGTTTCTCATTTGCCTAATCTCTCTCAAACACACACACATACACGAGCAGAGCAGCCATGTAAAGCGCTGCTCTGTTGCAACTGTGTGAACCCAACCACAAACCTACTCTGCTGCCTCAGACATGGTGGCCTGGCTGGTACTAATATCCCATCTTGTGGCTATATAATGTTTAAACTGATTTCACAGTAATTTTCAATAAGTCACTGTGGTGACTCATACTTACATCAAGAACTTTCTTTGTGTAGGTAGTTGCGTGAAGCAAGGAAAAAAGAAAAACTGGAAAGATGCTCACTGGACAAGAAGGTTAAGATTAAATAACAAAAAAGAACAACTTCCTCCTAAATAATACAATAATAAGGGAGCATGATTCCAACTACGGAAAAACTAAATCTTTTACTGCTAAGACTAATTGATTTGTAATACTGCAGGTCTGAACCCTTTAAGGACTCCTATCAGACCGTCTTTGGAAAAAAACTGCAGCAACAAGTAAATGTCTGTCCAACTATAGCAGTGAAATAGTGTTTTATTATTGTTTAAAACTAAAAAAACACACAATGTATGTAGCAATGCTATCATCTCCATTAGGGCTGGGCCATATTATACCGTTCACGGTAATACCGGTATAATGTTAGGCAACGATAGGAAAATGAAATATCGCGATAGAATGGGAGTAAAACGCGCATGCGCAGTGCCTTTGTTTTCATACGCACATGGCCGATTGTTGAGTGAAACAGATGAACCAGAATTGGTTTGTAAAAATGGTGCAACTTCCGTGATGTGGAACTGGATTGGTGTTTGTCCGTCAGATACACAACAAAGCACATTTTTTTGCAGAACATGCAAGCGGCCGTTGTTATTGTCATATTTGTCGGACTAAGATGCTCTTAAATCTGGGAGTAATCTGGGTCCTAAACTCCGTATGCTTCAGGTCAAACAACACTGCAGCATCACTTAGAGTTAAAAACTGTCTAAATTCTTTCATCTTTAATAAAACGATCAGCATTGCTGCTTTACCAGGTGTAACTATAAAGTTTAACTTCCAGGCATCCATGAAAACAAAAGTTATTACATTTAACGGAGTTAGAAGTTAGCAGGAAGCTAGCGGAAGTTAGCTCGCTAGTTTCGCTAGTTACCTAAGCATGATATTGCATGTTCTGACTGAGAGATTTCTGAAAAAAATCAAACGCACAGCTCTGCTATCACTTCCAACATAAATGAAGACAGGAAACTAAACAGCAGTGACGTTTGTAGGGTTACTGAAGTTGGGCTAGCTGGTATATAATGATGTGCTACGTGATCGCTAGCGACACAGCTATGTTAGCATAACATAAACAGTGAAGCTGGAGGACGAACACTAACACTTTTCCACTTATAAAAGTTAACGTGAAGGTTCTTCATGGTTAGAGACAAATGCAATCGCATGGCAGGATGCTGTAAACGGACCAAACTTCAGTCAGGAGAACAACTGAGATAATCCATCCACAATACGAGGTTAGTCATTAATATACTGCAGCAACATGGGAATAGAGCAGCTGCCAGAGAATTCAACATTAATGAATCAATGGTACAGAAGTGGAGGAAGCAAGAAGAATGAGTTTAATAAAGTTTGATTTATCTGACTGCTTTGTTTCGCTTAATGTGCCTTATAATCCCGTGCACCTTATGGTCCGAAAAATGCGTACTGCACACTGCAGTTTAATGTTGCAAAGCACCTCTTTTTAACTTCAGTGGATATTATACATGGTTATGCTCAGGTAGAGCTGGGCGATATGAGATTTTTTCATATCACGATATGTTTTTTTCATTTCAGGCAATAACGATATCTATCACGATATAAGCCAAATAACTATATTTGTAAGATTTAAATGTGCCGTTGCTCACAAGTAAAATGTGAAATAATCAGCAGCTTGTTTTTATGTAAATATTTATTTCCCATAATAAGTTCAACAGGGTAGATGTACTTAAGGAACATCAGACTTTTTCAGATAAATAAAGGCAAATATTGCAAACTACACAAAAGGCAGCCGCTAAAGCG